AGACGCTGAGCTTGTCGATAAGAAAGATCCGCAGTTCAGCGGTTCGAATCCCCAGCGCCGCGTGATGGAGTGAGCACTCGTTCCTTGTCCCAGCTTCTAACCAATCTAGCAGTTGGAAAGCACGTTTAAAAAAAAAATGCAAGTAGACAAATAGGGACCACTATTTTGGTGGGAAGGGAACACCGTTCCGTGCGCCTTTGAAGGTGTTTAGTCATGCCGGCCACATGACCACAGAGACGTCCTCGGACAGCGCTGGCTCTTCTTCGGCTTTGCAACGGAGATGAGCACCGTCCCCTAGAGCTGGAAATGACCAGCAATGGATGTGCAAGGGGAACCTTTACCTTTATATTAGTTTTGCAGTCAAGAGATCAAAGCAATATATACAGTCTTCCAACTTGGCAAGTTTAAAGACTTGTGGACTTCAACTCCCAGAATTCCTGAGCTAACATGACTGGTGGAGGAGGAATTCTGGGAGTTGAAGTCCACAAGTCTTAAAACTCAAGTTGGAAGACCCCCTGGCTTAGGGGAAAACAGTGTTAAGAGTGTTTTCCTTTCCCAGGTTTTTCTTCCGTGTCATCATGGGAGGCAGAAGCAAAGAGTGAGATGCCTGTGAGGATAGGAGAGGCTTCACAAAGGAAGACAATAATAACTGCCCAGTTTCTCAAACTCAAAACAAGGGTTTGAGTTCCGATGGGCAATGTTTGCTAGTTTCCCGAAGCTATAAATGGGCAGAATCACATTTATACTGATTTAAGCATCTTTAGAGTTCTGCATTTATATGGTGGTTGAAGGGAATGAAAAAAAAAAACTAGTCAAGTCATGCTGGTTGAAATTGTAATTTGTGCTCTAAAAATTTGGGCTGTTTGGACAAACCTAGTACGCCAATGGGTGTGTGGATATCAAAGCAAACTTCTGATTTTGGACAGACGAATGTTGTGTCTTTGGAGTTTAACGTTTTCTCCTTCAATCTTTCAGTCTCAGCAGATTACACCTCAGCTCGCTCTCCAAGTCCTCCTACAATTCGACAAAGCTATCAACGCTGCCCTAGCCCAGCGAGTCAGAAACAGAGTCAATTTCAGGGTAAGAAATCCTAATTCGAAATCATCTGGCATTGGCTGAGTTTGCATACAGGCCTCTGATTGCAGCTCTCTTCTAAGAAGCACCTAAAATGCTAGCAGAATATAGGGTTGTTTTTCCCCCCCGTAGTTTAAATCTCTTCTAGTTCCCCTTTCAAACAGTTTAAATCTCTTCTAGTTCCCCTTTCAAACATAATGCTCAAAGGGAAGTCCTTGATTTACAACTCCAATTGAGCCCAATATTTCTACTGCTAAGCGACAGGCATTGTTTGCCCCCACTTTCTAGCCAGGGTGGGTAAGGGAACCGTTGCCGTTGTTAAAAGTTAGTCACACGGTCTTTAAGTGAATCCAGCTCCTTCTCAGAAGGTTGCAGAAGGCGATGATCATGTGACCTTTGGACCCTGCAGCAGTCATAAACACAAACCAGGGGCCAAGCGTCTGAATTCTGTTCACGTGACCCATGGAGAGGCTGTAACGGTCATAAGTGTGGAAAAATGGGTCATGAGCCACGTTTTTCAGTGCTGTTATAACTTTGGCCGGTTCACTAACCAAACTCTCGTAAGTCGAGTACTAGAAAAGCAGCTGCTTGAAATGCGGCAAAAGCGATGAGATATTAGGTAAACCTTCCAAACGAGAACCATCAACCAACCCCTGGAACAGAAGCTGCCCTCGGAAGTTGTGGGAGCTTCATCCCTGGAGGCTTTCAAGAAGAGACTGGACTCCCATCTGTCAGAAATGGTGTAGGGTTTCCCGCTTGGGTGGAGGGTTGGGCTAGATGACCTACAAGGTCCCTTCCAATTCTGATTATCTGTTACCTGCCTTTCATGCCGTAGTTTAGCAGACTGAGCACCAATTAGCAGGTAACAGGGATTCCCGCTCCTCACAAACACTGTTGAGGGTAGAACGTCCATTGCTTAGTGGGGTGGCCGGTTAGCCAATGGCAGCTACGTTATACATACAGACAACCAATATAAATAAAATGCCAGCAAATGTGAAGTATACAGTACAATATACAATATTATTTACTTATTTAATTTATATTGCCGCCTATTCGCCCATGGCGACTCGAGGCAGTTTACACCACGTAAAACCGTATTTTTAAAAAATAAAATAAAAAACTTAACAAAAAGAATCAAATAAATCGGAGCCTTCCAGAAGGGGGCTAGAGTGGGGCCATTCTAATATCGGGGGGGGGGGGGATGATATTCCAGAGAGAGGAATATGAGATAAACTATTAAATTGAGGGGGGGCCATGATGAAATCGCCCTAATAGACAGAATCGCAGTAGGATAGATGGTTGAGGACAATTAAGATGACGAAAAGCAAAAGTATTCAGGTATCTATATAGTACAGTTGTTTATAAAAACTTTCCCCAAATTCTCCCGCTGGCCGTTGTCCCTCTGATGGCCACAGGGGGGCAATAGACCCATTTCCAGAATAGCCGCCTGCCTCTATCCGGAAGCGGAGGGAGCTGCCTCTATCCGGAAGCGGAGGCGCCCAATTCAACAGCTGCCCCTCCGTTCCTCCCTTTTCCTAAGTTACCTACGGAAATTCTCGGCCATCCAGGTCATCGTTGCTTGAAAGGCGTCATTCTTCTTCCACAAAAGGAAAACCAAAACAGTCCAAAGCGCCTTTTAAGACCCTTTTCCTACGTCTTCTGTGATGACCCAAAGGGGCGTGGCACAAAAATAACAAAGTCACCAAAGTAGACAAATCCCCTTTAATGCCTCCAACTTGGCCCCCAGTGTCCAGTTATCCTCGGCTGGAGAATGAACTCTTCCAAAAACAAGGGGAACAAAGGGAAGAAATGCAGTCCGAACCCAAAGTAACAGATAAAGTAGAAGTAAAAAAAAAAACCAACGCAAACCACGCTGAAGTAAATTAACACGACAGGATAATAACTTGCAGGGTTCCAAAAGATAACGAGGCACACAACAAAGATCATGCTTTGCTTCCAGCAACTTTGCCATGCGCAGTTTTCCCTTTTAAACAGTCTTCCCGGCTGCAGGCCATGAAGGAGATCAGGGCCCTTTTCTCTCCCGTAAGCCATGTTGTTCCCTTCTCCGCTCCTCCCTGCGTGCCCTAGGATGAAGAAGAGGGGATGGTCCTGGGTCTTCCTCTGAATGCCCCTCCGGCCTATGCCCCTCCCCAGTTTCCTCCACAGCCACCCCGGAGCCCCACTCCCACTCCCTGGCGGCTGTTGCACCTCGGAGTCAGATTCACCTTCCTTCCTTCCTCTCCCCCCGCCCTTCTTCTTCTTCTTCTTTCCCCCAAAGGGCTCTCTGAATACGTACAGGTTTTGCGACAACGTTTGGACCTTCGTGCTGAATGATGTGGAATTCAGGGAGGTCACCGAGGTGGTGAAAGTGGATAAAGTCAAAATCGTGGCCTGCGATGGGAAGAGTAAGTTTGGGGGGGGGGGGGGGAGGGGGGGGGGCGGTCGACGCTTGCGTTTCTCCACCTCGCCCACTTCAAGCTGGGCCCGCTGCAGCTCCCAGAACCTGCCCCCCCCCCTCACCCCCCACCCCCCAGGTTAAAGGGGTTGAGGTTGAGAAACGCGGCTCTAAACCAGGCGGGTCCCGGATTGGTTCCCTCTTGGAAAGTGGAGGTTGCAACGGGTTTCATCTCAGGCCGGTTTTCTCCTCCTCCGCCTTGGGAGATAGCTGGCATTTGCTGAAGGCCGTTTGTTAGGAGGGGGGGGACAACACCTTTACTCCGACTTGGCCCTGCCAAAAACAACAGAAGAGTGACCTTCCCGCTACGAAGAGGCGCTCTGCCACCTGTTCACACAGAGCCTCATTGTTTAAACTCACCGGCTCACTTCCCTCACTCAGCAGCAGTTGTCAAGCACAACCCTAGAATTGCTTCCTTCTGACGGACACACGCCCGTCTTCTCACCTGACTTACCTCTCCTGGGCCGCGATGGCAAAACCCGGTGGGCTCCATGAGGCACTTGCCATTTTTTGCAATGTTGGCAGGAGGCTGGCTCTGTGGAGGGCAGCCCCCCCCCCAAATCAGGGGGTCTCCACGGAAGGCCTTGACTCGACCTGTTTTGCATCCTTCCGAGGGCTGTAAAATGAGGGCCCAGATTGTCGTTGGGGGCAAGAGGCTGACTCTTTAAACCGCTTGGAGAGGGCTGTGGAGCAATGTAAAGCGGTAGATAAGTCTGTACCCTCCCTCCCTCCCTTTCTCCCTTCCTCCTTCCCTCCCTTTCTCCTTTCTCCTTCCTCCCTCCTTCTCTCCTTCCCTCCCTCCTTTCTCCCTCCCTCCCTCCCTCCCTCCCTCCCTCCCTCCTTTCTCCCTCCCTCCATCTCTCTCTCTCTCTCTGTGCCCTTCACAGGGCTGCTGTTGTGGGGAAAATAGGAGAAGCTTTGTTGGATATGTTTGAGTTAATTGTCAAAATAATCAGGGTGAGATATAAACAAACACCGCCCGGACTTGTCCTGGCAGTTTCCTCGCCCAGGTTTTCGGAAGTGGTCTGCCCTGACCTCCTTCCTAGGTGAGAGTGACGGGCCCAGGTTCACCCAGCTGGTTTTGGGGGCTGACTGGAACTCACCTGTCCTCCGGTTCCTAGCCTGGTGTCTCAACCACAAGACCAAGCTAGCTTGTTAGGAATAAATCCGTCATTCCTTCTGGGCCGTTTCTCACCCGGCGTCTCCCTTGCCTCCAGATACAGGTTCCAATGCTGCGGAGTGAAGGGGGATCGGGGCCTCGGAGCCCACGTGGACTGGATGGGCCGGGCTTCCAGGGGAGTGGCCTGGACCGAGGAAGACTCTGCCGGCAGCTGTTTTAATCATGCAGGCAAGGCTCACCTTTTCTGGAAGGCCTTGTGGAACTGTCTTAGCAGTTTGGTCCCATAAGGCACCTCCGGGCGTCGGCTCGGTGACGGAGATAATAAGCAAGCTTGCCTTTTTTTAAAAAGCAAAAACCAGAGGATCAAAAATAAAGATGAAACATACACAGCTACTTTTGGGTTCATCAAGGTCACCAATAAATCTTTTATTTAAATCTTTGAGTGGCGTGATAAGTATTGAATCCTCTTCCTTTGCACCATCAGCTCTTGCTGGATTCACCTGTGTGTCCCGTCCCGGCCCCAGTTTAAAATCTCACTGTTTTGCCAGTCTTTGGGCCTGCAAACATAGCCAAACTCTTTTGGCATGCTTTAAACCCAAATTTAAGAATGGCTTATTCTTGTCCTTAAAAAATGTTCCAGCATGGTTTGTCTCTTTCTTTCTTTCTTTCTTTCTTTCTTTCTTTCTTTCTTTCTTT